TAAAGTTGCTTCTTTCTTCCCGAAACACTCTCCTGCAAAATGGTTACGCTTTTTGCAGTTATCACACGTTTTTCCCCAAGCAGGACAGTTGCTTCTTCCCATAAGACGTATGCGGCCACAGAAACGGCAAGCAGCTGTTGGGTGTTCGATTTGCAGCGGTAATTTTGCACAATCCCTAATCCTCTGTCGTGGTAAGCATTTCCATATGCTTCTCTGCTGCCTCTTCACTCCGACATGTGTCGATGCATTGTTTTAATGTCAGCTCTGGAATTTTAGGAGGCACTTCACCACAGCAGAATCCCGTAGACCAACGACAATTCGATCCCTTATTAGACTCTCTTCCAGACAGGCACAGAAATTGCACGATCGAGCCAGTGATTTTAGCGACAGGACGAATGCGTCGAGGGACTAACCATGCTGCTGTCTCCTCTGGTTGAAAATGTATCGTTCGTAAGTCTCTTTGGATTCGCCAAGACAGTACTGTTCCATCTTCGTCATCACCACCTGCCACTCTGCACGGTCCTCATCCGGACTGTAAGTGAATCCATTTATGACACGCAGAGCAGCCGGACCAATCGTNTGTACGGGACTGGATTCGCTGTCCATCCTTGCCAGTGTACGAAAATCTCCATACTGTGTTCGCCACAGTCTCCAGTTATCAGCTAATTGCCCCGTCTCCTCCATAGTCAGGTACGCCGGCGGTTGGATCTGCAGTCGACTATTCATTCTCTCCGATATTGGGAATTTCGCATCATTTTCCGCTGCCACCATGTCAAAAGTCAGTTCTTCAGGAAATGTCCTCAACATATTTTCTCTAATCCACTGGACACGAATCACATTTGGTAAGGGAATCACAGGATTTATATATAACCCTGAACCAATCAGATTGTTCGAAGGGCAAAATTAGTTTTCCGCAGACCAATCATAAAAGTACAGTTGATGCAGTAAAACAAACGATCAATTCAAACAAGACTTTCCAACACACACTTAAACTTCTTTAAAGCTTTATTAGAGTCAACCACCATATACGGCTGTGAACGCTTCATAACTATGATGTTCAAAGATTACTCATTGACTGAGTAGATTGAGGAATTTTTTCGATAACGAACCGTATCAGTTTGAGTTAGTGGTTCTCCATCGGGACCAGTTGAGGCTGTCCGTGTAGTTCCATAAGGATCCGCAATTCGTCCGTACCTTTTCTTATCATTCATAGATGGTCCACCAGCTGTACTCGGAGAAAAGGTATTATTGTTCGCTGCCAGTGGCAAAACATGTAGGACGGTACAAAATCCTGAAGATTACGAAACCCTTTAGGAAATTCCCAGCGCAAATTCCCGACGGTCTGTCACCAATAACATCGAATGCAACGTCGAGAAATGTAAAGTTTTAGGGTTGGGTTACAGAGGTCTATAAATACAGGGAAGTCAGCCTTTAACGCGTGCTTCAAACGAAAAGGACCTGGAAGTTATTGTACATGAGGATCTGGGATGTACCAGACATTCCGGTAGAGAGTCATCGAAGGCCATAAAGCAAATTGGACTAATAAAAGATTTTTCTGTTACGTTCGAAGCAGGCCTTGATTGCTATCAGCATATATAAGACCACACACCGAGTATGCTATACAAGCTCGGAATCCGTGGCTAATTCGCGACCAAAAGGCACTCGAACGTTCGCAGAGAACGACAACCGAAATGGTCAAAGGGTTGCAATCTAAAACCCACGGTGAAAGGCTGCATAGTCTCGGATTTTATTCGTCTAAGTACCGTCGGATACGGGGAGATATGATCCCAGTATATCAAGTACTACATCAACCTACCCACACGTGTATTACTGAACTATCCAAGATTGTCCGCTTCAGGGAACATCCAGAAGAGTCCACTGGGCTACAGGCGTCACTCTTTCAGCCTCAAGGTTTGTACAATACCTGGAACTCTCTTCCACCTCAAGTTATTTGTGCACAATGGTCGATTCATTCAAGTCACGACTGATTGAAGCATTGAAACATCTAACTTTTTATCACCCATGAGAGAACTTTATATTTGGCTATTTAATTGTACTATCAAATGAATCTAGTGTTTACAGATTCTATGGGATTTAGTAAGCACCGACTTTGTCATTTACCCATAATATATACTTCAGTTTGAATTCAGAAAAAATCAGAGTAGAAAACAATTCATTGAATAGCTTGGAGCCAGAGAAGGGGAAGTTTTTCATTTAATTGCCTAATATAGTACACTTGAAGGGTGCAAACGTGCTCGTTTCCTATAGCCTGGAAACGAATTCGATTCGGGAAAAAGAATACGGATTTAGAAATCTGTCTTTTCTCAAATTTGCATTTCAGGTCACTTTCACTGGCTCACTGTGGAGCGAGCTGCATTGGTCGAACTACCAGACAGCTGCTATCAAAGAGTATACACGAACATCACCCCGGCTGATTGAGACACGGTGAAATTAGGACGGCGAAAAGTGCTGTCTGTCAACATGTACTGGAGACACGGCCCACTGTTAGTGTTGATCAAGTATTCCGCACCATGTACCGGAGGGCCATCATCTCTGCTGAAACGCCTTCGGTTTATTAGTCTGTGCACAGCCGAGGCGTTAGCTATTTAAACATTGGATCGCCCACACCCCTGTCCCATGACCTCGGATGAAGAAATTCAACCTATCCCCCAGGGGAACGCATCAATGACCTAATCGAGAGGAATATCAGGTAAACAATCTTAGCATACGTCCTCCACGTAGTCTGACACAATCAAAACCAAATTGACGATCCCAAATAACCCCATATAATATTAATGGCCAGTTAATGAATTTTCGAAAAAACAGCCTGTTTCGCCTACCACATTTTGTTTTCGAGGAGGTCATTAAAAAATACCTTCCTATGTCAAACTTAGCAAAACATTTACAGTGTTTCCATCTTGTTTTTCTGAAGGACGATCACACCATTGTTGTTGACCTACGCCAGAGTCGGTAGACTAATGGAAGATACACGGAATGAAGTGTACGCAACATGAGAGGATGCCCTCACGTGTCATCTTCTGTTCGTAGTGGAAAATGCTGCCGCAACTCCGGGTCCATATCATCCTTCAGGATCTACCTCATACAGATCAAATGTCCCATAAAGCGCAGATACGTAACTGGGAAGAGAACAGTAGCCTGTAGACGCCCTTCATCGCTAGTGCCAAGCAGTCCAACAACGAATCTAGTGGCAGCACGTTGTACAAGCTCCAACTTAGTCAGTTCACCGACCGTGCAGGGATATGTCGTGGAGCCAGTATACTCAAGTCTCGGTCTGACGTGAAAAGCCTACGGCAGTCTAGAAGGGGTCCACAGTGAGCTGGCTGAAAGATCTCTCCGTATACGTCTCAGGATAATCCACGTAGTTGCGCAGACCTTATCGATGTTCTCTCGCATCTTCACCGATGACAGCACCATAACTCTCAGGTCCCCATCGAACGATGTTCTACGCAATGTGAAAGCTGTAAACCACCTGTGAATCAGCACGCCGCTGGTGAAAGTAAGCATATACTACCGACAGCTGAGGAGTGATTTTGCCTACCGGATCAAGTTTTGAATAATTGTAAACAAGTGTGCACATCACATACCCCATTCACGAATTCACGTACAGTTAGCAGACGCATCTCAAACACTGCACATTTACGCTTTAATGTTGTTCCCTGTGAGTTGTGCGCAGAATGTATGCATGACCGTAGTGAGAACAATTATAGGAAAGCCGTCCATGTGCCAAACCTATCCGTTACAGTTTTCTTACAGCCGACAGGAGGTAAACGGTCTGGACCAACTGAGACACAATGAATGTTACTTTTTCTGCACGCACCGAACCACTGATNCTGATTGGATAAAATGTTTTTTTTATTCATTTGAACTGACTATCCTTCGGAATTCAACTTCGCGCACAATCCTTTGTTCATCCAGTTAACCATACACTCGGAAGCATTAGACTACTCGAGTTCTGCTCTTATTAGAGCTCATCAGCAGTGCGTATCCACCCTCCCATTGTCCGGGATTTGAACGCCGGACCCATCGCATGGAAGGCGAGTGCTTTACCACTGTGCCAACCAGCTCACACCAGGGATTAATTGCCAGTTCATGTTTGTTCCGGGTGTCGTCTTCAGTAATAGTCACTCACTTTATTTGGCCCAACTGCAACGAAGAGAGACACAGATGACAATCTGGTAACTCCAATCGAATACCTCCCACCAAGTCAAGACTTCCATACAGGTTGCTGCCCGATTCACCAACGAGCCTACAAGGCTGGATTGATAATTGGCATTTAACTCACAGTTACATGTGAGTAGCGGTGTGAGATAATTGATTTTCTTTTATTGATTTGAATTGATTAGCCTTCGGACTTCACCTTCACGCACACAACCCTCAGTTAATCGATTCAGCCATGCGTATGTTTTGTGCACATTTCAATTCAACTAACCCCCACATTTGGAGCATGGTTTCTACGTCACGCGGAATCCTATAATCGATTACGTGAACAGATCGGATTATTGAACTACACACACACAAACACACATACATTATACAATCTCAAAATGTGGCCGAAAGTACCATGCATATTACGTAACTACGGTCATTTCACTCCTGTACAGTCGATCGAACTCATGGTCTCCTAAGCCGAGCACAGACGAGTTCTTGAAGTAATCGCAGTCCATTTGGTCCAGTCGTGTCTCAATACGATCTCGGACTGTCTCGGTTATTACAGCTTGATGACAGTGGCGCGTTTTGCAATTTGATCCTTATGTTAGGCAGAGATTCGTAGCAGCCAAAGTCAAAATCAGATCTTGTGTCCAGATCAAATTTCATTCGTTACGCAATAAAAGTAACATTTTGTGATTTTCTCACTTGAACAAACAAAAAACAAAACAGTTTCGAGTACGAAGTTTGGATTAGCCCATTCGATTGTTCAGAGGCACCATGCACCCTTGATGGTCTTCTCTGTAGGTTTCGTTCCTTGGGAGATCGTTAATTCCCGCACAAGTTCATCCATTTACGTACGATGGAAATGCTTGACACCTATGAGATTGAACGAAAAAGTGCATTTTCAGTACCTGAAGGCAGCTGGGGCAATGCAACATGAGCTGCACTGCTGAATAAACCCAGAAAGGCTTTTCTTTTCATTGGTATTCTCTGTGAATCACATGGACGTTCGCTACAACCATCGCAATTAAATGCATAGAAATAGTGGGGAATTAACGATTTTCCAGGGAGTGAAACACACCGAAGACCATCAAAAGTGTCTGGTGCCTCTGAAAAATCGAATGGGCTATTCCAAGCTTCATACTCGAAATTGATTGCGCCATTCACACAAGGTGACGACCAGCGACCATGCAGCTCTAGGGTAAGGGTTCGAAGTCCCGACCCGAATTCTTGGGATTCGAGTCCTGACAGGCACACAAAAAGTACACACTGTTGACGATTCCGAAAAAGGACGAAACAACTGTCCAGTGCTCTTTGTTGGTTATCACAAAGATTTCCACCGCCTTATGCATCAACCATAGTCGAAATGCAAACAATTCATGTGAAATTTTCAGCAGACATTAGGGAGCCCAAATTAGAGATTGACAAATGTTTGACATGAACCGGCGATAAACCCGGACAATTCGTAACCCACTTTCTTCATACAATGGGCCAGTTTCGTATGGATTATTTTTTTAGTACAACAGTGATGGTCTGGTGCAAAACCCGTGTACATTTACCAATTTCCTAAAGTGATTAGCTATGAATGAGACTGGACGGGA